AAACTTTGATTATATTGATTATAACTCAAATAGAAGATTAAATGAGATAACATATATGTAGGACTTTGTCCCATTCACTTAAAGAAAATAAAAACACATTAAAATGATTTTCTTCTTATAAGTGTAAAAATATAAAATCAAAGACAAAGAAAATAAACAATAGAAAAGTTTTTTTCACCAGGGTTACCTCTACATTACTGACTCGGAATTAACTTGATAAGTTATCCAACCTTTGAGGGATTTGTTTGTATTTAAAATAGACAGAAACTTGTGAATCAATCCTTTTTCAGAAACAGCTCAGATTCATTTAGCATCTTGTTCTTTTATCCCTTTTGGTTCATTTATTTCCTTCCTGTCCTCAGACCTGCTGCCCCTGGATCTTCTGTCCTTTGTACTTGAGAGGGATACCTCCAAACTCGTGTCTGGGGTGCGCATGAAGCAAGCTGGCGGGGTAAGGGGCATCCATTTTCTGGGCCCTGATACCTTAATGAGCTTCCCCTCCTCCCAGATATTGGTAAACTGTGACCTTTTCCCTGAAGAGTTCTCCATTGTTGTAACATTTAAAGTCAATCGTATCGCACCAAAGGTGAGTGTTTGTCAGTTCTGCTTTAGTGTTATTTACTGCAACTCATATTTGCTCAAGATGTTGAGAAGCACAAGTTCAAACATGTCAAAAGTGGACTTTTTTTCATCCAACACAGAGTGTCCTGAGGTTGTTTTCTCTTTGTCTAATAGAGAAATGAATATATCTTTTCATTGCTGGAACCCAGAAATGCAGAGAAAAATGCAGCAGAGGAGGTGGAGGACATTTTAAAAAAGGACAAGAAGATAAATTTGTCTGGAGAAGAGCAGCAGATGAAGAGGAAGCAAGTCAGGAAACATGAGGAACCAGGACAGGTCATCCTGGGCCTGAAGTTATCACAAAGTGGTCTCCAGTTCTTTTTTAAAGGACGCAGCGAGGTTGTGGAGCGTTGGACGTTTCAAAGGATTCTATTGGACGATAACCAGTGGCACACTCTTATTTTAGTTATTCATCGACATCACATAAGACTCACAGTGGACTGCAAGCCACCGCTGGAAATGTAAGCTCATTATTACCCAAGATGTTGAGAAGCAAAACTTAAACATTTTAGTTTAAAACTCTGGCATGAAAAGTGTCAGGCAATAAGCATTGTTTCAAGAAATGTTAGGTCTTTAAAGGGATCTCTGACTATTTGCACATGTTGGCTTTAATATACATTGCCTGGCCAAATAAAAAGTTGCCACCAAAATAAAGATCACGCATTCCAATATTTTGTTGGACCGCCTTTAGCTTTGATTACGGCACACATTCACTCCATTCCAGTGGTGCATTAATTTTTCACCAAGATCTTACATTAATGACGGTAGAGTCTGACCGCTGTGAGAAGCCTTCTCCAGCACATCCCAAAGATTCTCAATGGCGTTAAGATCTGGACTCTGTGGGACCAATCAATGTATGAGAATGATCTCTCATGCTCCCTGAACCACTCTTTCACAATTCCAGCCTGATTAATCCTGGCGTTGTCATCTTATATGCCCGTGCCATCAGGGAAGAAAAAGTCCATTGATGTAATAACCTGGTCATTCAGTATATTCAGGTAGTCAGCCGACCTCATTCTTTCAGCACTTACTGTTGCTGAACCTAGACCTGACCAACTGCAGCAACCCCAGATCATAGCACTGCCCCAACATGCTTAGACACTGGGCATGATGGGTGCATCACTTCACCTGGCTCTCTTCCTATGATGCACCCTGTGGAACAGGGTAAATCTGGACTCATCAGACCACATGACCTTCTTCCATTGTTCCAGAGCCTAGTCTTTATGCTCCCTAACTGGAGCCTTTTATTCCAGTTAACCAATGATTTGACCCTTCTCAAACAGACTGACATCTTTTCCACGACCACGATATCTGTGTTTCGACATGGTTGTTTAAGATATGAGAAGCAACTCATTGCACCAGTTGAGGTTAAATAACTTGTTGCCAGCTGAAAGACAATCGCCCCTGCAGTAATTATCCAATAGGAGGCTTGTATCTATTTGCTTGATTAAATTCAGGTGGCAAGGTTTTTTTTTTGGCCAGGCAGTGTATTATTTTTCTATTCAGCTAAAAGTTGTTTTTGACATGCGAAAACATCTAATTACTTAAAAACTGACTATATTTATTACATTTTTATTTAAACACATTGCCATTTTGTTACTGACGTAATGCATTCTGGGAATGATGATGAGTTACAGTTGAGATTAAAACACAGAGTCCAGGCTTAAAAGCTATATTGTGTGATAATAAATTTATATTTTATTAGTTTTTGAATTATAAACATATGGATTGAAACACTAAAACCTGACCATGTTTAGTAAATTAGCACAGGAGCTGATGGCATGTATAAATTATTTATGTGGCTTTAGCTCCTGAGCTAATTATTAGCTTCAGAACACCATACCACCATATACACAGTATATTAGCTCAGGAGCTAACGCCACTGAAGCAAATACTGTATATTAACTCGTGAGCTAATGCAATAAATGTAGAGGTCTACTAATAAATATGGGGTGTCAGCTTCCAAGCTAATATTATTAGCTTGTGAACTAAAGCTATGAGCTTTAAAAACACCATATTACCATTTATATATTAGCTCTGGAAGTAACTCCATATTATGCCRCGTGTACATTAGATCTGGAGCTAATGTGAAAGTTAAAAGAGTAAAACTGAGGTCCTTTCATGGAGCAGCTCTGTTCTCCATTCACATTTTCAGTTGCAGTCTGAGTCTACATTCTCCTTTCTGTCAATGTGCTCCGATGCAAGGTTATAGTAGTTTTGGAATTTTCATTCTAGTTTAGTTTTTTTAGTTGTGACATTTTTTCTTTTAATTCAGTTAGATTTTAGCTTGGATTTGCTAGTTTTTATTAGTTATTATTGTGTTTTTATTGCTTAGTTTTAGTTTAGTTTTTATTAGTTCTAGTATTAGTTTTTTTTTGTAATTTGAATAAATATATTTGCCAATGGGCGGCACGGTGGCTCAGTTGGTAGAGCTGATGCCTCTCAGCAAGAAGGTCACCGGTTCAAATCCCGGTCTGGGGACCTTTCTGGGTAGAGTTTGCATGTTCTCTCCGTGCATCTGTGGGTTCTCCTCCCACAGACCAAAAACATGACTGTTAGGTTAATTGATAACTCTAAATTGTCCCTAGGTGTGAGTGAGAGAGTGAATGGTTGTTTGTCTCGTTTGTCTCTATGTGTGGCCCTGTGATGGACTTGCGACCTGTCCAGGGTGTACCCCGCCCCTCACACTGTGACTGCTGGATATGGGCACCAGTGACCCACGCGACCCTGAAAAGGAAGAAGCGTGTACAGAAAATGGATGGATGGATGGATGGATATTTGCCATTGCATCCTCTAACTTGAAGTGTTCCTGTGAGTTAACCAACCAGCTGCTTTTTGATCATCAGTCAAAGCAGTCCGTTATAGCAACACCTTCCTAAAATAATTCAATAACTCAATTTTGCCAACAAAGGACTTGGACAATTGTTTTAAGAAGATGACAATAGTTGTTTAGATCCTAGATTCCTGGCTGGGCTACAGCTTGTTTTTCACAGGAACTACTGAGAAGCTACCGTGTCAAGATACTCCTTTAGTCCCTTGAGAAGTATTCCACCTATTCTATTACCTGTTTCCACCACAAGACGCTTTTAATTTTCTCAGTCATATTCAAAGATATCCCAAATCGGACTTTACTACTTTCTCCCACTTTTGTTGTTGTGATTTTGCAGGTGAACGCTGAGCAGCAGCAGACTGTAAACAGGTGACATTACGGACCATGATGTGCCATAAGCTGCCCACAGTTAATGTGAAACTGCTCAATTTGAAGAAAAAAATGATTCGTTTAATCAATCCACGTGGCTCAAAATAAATTGACAAACACTAAAACTAAGGATATTCTATCTATTATTTCAGTTAGTTTTGTAAGAAGACTTGTCATTTTTTAAAATTTTATTAGTTTTATTTATTTCAGTTAACTAAAATCTTTTTTCATTTTCAGTTTTCGTTATTTAGTTAGTTTTAGTTAACTATATTTAACCCTGCTCTGATGTATTTTAAAATACATTAGCCAAAGAAATTTGAAAAGTTGAAGTAAATGTTTATAAAAAATGTCTTGTCAGAGTTTCCTCTAATATTTTGCTCTCTCCGCGTCTCAGCATCATTTCTTCCTGTTTACTTGAGGCTCACAGACGTTGATCCTTCATCACAATAAAAACGCTTCTGCTCAGAAATGTGCCTTTAGCCTGCAGTCATATCACAGTTCCCCGACAGGAAAAGTGATGGATGTTTCCTCTGGTACTTCTGTGGCTGATGTTAAAACAGTTCATGTCTCGTTTTTTTGTTCCCTTAAAAACAGATCTGAGGGGAAACTACTTCAGTTACAGAGAATTCAGCTCCCTTACAGAAGAAAAACAACCTGCTTCATCTGTTTCAAATAATGATCTTTCATTCCAAACAGCACTCCCTCCAGGCCTTTCCCCTCAGACCTCAACATTCAGGGATCCAGAGTCCACATCGGCAGCCGGGGAAGATGGAAGGGCTTGTTTTCAGTAAGTTGCATCAAAAATTTTTTAATTCAATTCTAAAAGTAACTAAATAAAAATGTCCACCTGATCCATGCTTTTTGCTCCAAATTCAGGGTCTGCTTCGACAGCTGGTTCTAGTGCCAAACTCAGACGCAACTCGTCAGGTGTGCCCTTCCTCTGACCCCCAGCTCGTATCCCTGTCAGTCCCCCCGCTGCTCTTAGACCTGCCTGTCAGAAAGCAGCAGGATGACAGACGGACGACTTCCTCCGGTAATCTGCACAGTCGGTTCACGAGGAATGTGATGAGCACCAACAGGTGCTCAGGTCTTTGACCGCTCTGTTTCATCATTGTGATCTGTCAGAAAGTGCACAGCAAGTGTCTCTGGGTTTGGAGAGGTCCTGCTCGGAGCTGCTGCAGGGCCAGCTGTGGTTTAATCCACTCAAGAAGGGCCTCTACTACTGTGACGGCTCAGCGTGGATCACTGTGTTGGAGGGTAAGAACCCAACATCCAAGTCCAAGCAGGTTTATCTTCCTGTTATTGTACTAAACTGGCCTTTCCATCAACACAGATCATAAGAGGCTGGACTACGTGTTGGAACAACAAGTCCTCACCACCAGCTCAGAGACACATGATATAGAGGTATTCATCCATCATTTTCTTGAGAAAGAAAAGTTAGACAAAGTTTTTACACTTCAGAAATAAAAAAAATAGGAATCTTCAAAATCTGTCACCTAATAGAAGCCAATAATATKCAAACAAAATCTGGTCTGTAAAAAGAATTTGTGATGCCACTTAGAAAAAAGTTATCTAAGAAAACAACTCTAACACAGTGGGCCAAATGTAGCATGTCACAGTATTTATGTAGCCCACTTCAAAGATGTATTCATGTCTTAAAATAAACAAGTGCTGCTTTAAAGCCAGCATTGAACATAAACCACATCGCTCATAATGCATACCAAGTATTTTACCAGCAAAAGGATGGCATCCCACAGCTAGGTGGAGATATACAGGGTTCAAAAGTAACCAGCAAAATCTGCTGTGGAACGTCTCCATTTCAATGCATTTTCACCAGCTACTTTTGCTGCGGCCCATTTTCTCTGGGAAGTGGGAATTTCTCACAAGTTGTAAATTTAAACTGGAACGCCCCTCTAGTGGCCAATGCCGTCAACCCCCAGTTGCTTCCTGGGGGCCTTAGATAGCAGCTTCCTGCTCAACATGTATGCTCACATGTGCAATGGGAAAAATGCAAAACTAATTTCCCAATTGGGGGTTAATAGAGTACATTTACACCTTTTTATTCGTTATTTACAGGAAACCGTCGCATAGAAAGACACTAAGATCACCCCATTAGTTTCTTCAAAAACATTGTTCTCTGAAATCTACATAATTCTTACTCAATTTTTGTCTTCCTATGGTGTTAGCTATCCAGAGCAACTGCTCATGAAAGTAAAGGACAAAAGCGAGAAAGTTGGCCTGCACATCAAAAAGACGAAGATCATGATCACAGCCGTAAATAAGAACTTCAGCGTTAAGGTGAATGGTGAAGAGATTGAAGTGGTGAATAAGTTTATATTCCTTGGCTCCAAAGTAGACTGCGACTTCAACTGCACCCCTGAAATCAAGCGCCGATTAGCACTGAGACAAGACGCGATGCTGCCCATGAAAAAAAATTGGAAGAGCAAAGACATCAGCCTCCAAACCAAATGTAGATTAGTCACTGTTCCCAGTTGCGATATATGGAAGCGAAACATGGACCACGAAGAAATTAGACAGGAAGAAAATTCATGCTTTTGAGCTGTGGTGCTGGATGAGACTCTTACGAATTCCGCGGAAAGCCAGAATTCTTTAGAATCCAGAATCACCAAACAGCGATTAGCCTAATTTGGCCACTTGATGGGAAGCAGATCTTTGGAGAAAGACATGCTCAGGATGATTAGTGGACATAGAGGACAAGGCGGACCAAGAACTCGCTGGCTGGACATCATCAAACAGGATATAAATCTGACAATCGCTGAAATAAAAGAAGCTGTATATGACCGACAAGGATGGAGAACATCGATCCAACGAGTGACAGATAGTCGATTGTGACTGAMCGGATGGCTGTTAGCTAGTTTTCATTAGTTTAATTTTTAGCAGCTGTTTTGCTAAATTTAGCTTTTAGCTACCGTTTTGCTTCTGTTCTGCTTGTTTTAACTTTAACAGGCCTGTTAACAGCTCATTCTTCAACATATTTCAGCAGTCATTCTCAGCATTTTTGCAGAAATTACTATTTCTATAGTTTTAGGTATCACTGTTTCTCCCACAGATGTTTTTTTTGTGTACGTAATTGACTTAGTGTTCTTTAGCAGAACTATAACTCTTTTTTTTACTCTCTTGCATCATATTTATTTGACCTCCAGGTGTTTCAGATTCCTGGTGTGGGTCTGATGGCAGCGATGGCTCACCGGGCCTCAGCCTCTGGCTCAGCTGTGTACCGTTGGACCGACTCTGGTTTCCAGCTCTACCAGAACATCAGCACTTATGGAGCTCTGGCTTGGAGACATTTCCGAATGGGAAAGAAGGTGCGAAACGTTACTGGGATAGAGATCACAATTAGCTTTCCAACAAAGGTTTTACCTGAGCCTCCATTTCTCGTGCTGTATTGTTTTCATGTAGGTGTTCCTTGTGGTGTCTAACTCTGGGGCTGGAGCAGACAAGCAGCATAAGAAAGAGTCGGCGGCAGACTTTTCTGTTATTTACAAGTGGAGCAACAGAAGAAAACGGTTTGTGCAGTTCCAGACTCTGCAGACCTACTGTGCACGAGACTGGGAGGCCTTTAGCATCAATCAACACACATATCTTGCTGTGGCCAATCATAGGCAGGGTAAAAGAAACTATTTGTGAAATTAATAACTTTTAGCCTGCTTAGTTTCTGTCATATCTGGAATAAACTCCTTCATTGTGTTCCTCACTGTTATGTCTTGAAGGTGACAATAATCACACAATAAACAGCGTGATATACATGTGGAACAGACCGACAAAATCTTTTGAGGTTCACCAGCTGCTGCTCACTTCAGGCGCCTACGACTGGGAGTTCTTCACAGTCGGACCGTATCATTTTCTGGTGGTTGCAAACGCGTTTGACGGCATGACCACCTCTGTGGACTCTATCATMTATGTTTGGATGGATGGAAGGTTCCACGTGTTCCAGACAATCAAGGTGTGTGGAATACTTCGTATCTTAGATATGTTACAGCTGCAACATCGCTCAGATCTRTTTGAACATGGAGTGGAAGCCAGTGCTTGAGGTAAACATTTGATTACTCCTGCCATGCAGCTCCTCACCCAGCTGGGCTTTGATTTCCTCAGAGAAGATTCATATCTCTGAGATGAATTTGAAAAACGATCTGATCTGCGCAGACGGAACGAGTCGAGCGCAAAGATAAAAGGAAAAATAGGTAGGAAGGAACAAGTACGTGAATACATTTTAAGACTGGGGCCAAAAATAGATTGTGCGGTTTGGCACCATTTGCTTGAGGGTCGCATAACGAATAGTGAACAATTTATTTGAATCTCACCACAATTGACGCAAGCCTGTTGACACATTGATAGCCACGAGAGAAAACACTGAGAACAGTGTAATTAAGGGGAACTCCAGGGGTGGAGGAGGAGAGTCACAAAAACACTTTGAGGCACGGCGGCAGTAAAATAACTTTTAATCATCAGAGAAACGCCGCTGCACAAACGTCGCAGCTCCATGATGCAATGTGGGAAACAGTTTTTGGAGAAAACCCCAACACACATCAACTATTTTCTGACTTTTCATCGACGGTTAAAACATTTGTCCAACCCTGGCAAAACTTTTCATATCCTGATTGTCACTTGAGACTTTTTAAAGTTTAAACKCTTCAACAAAGACGGAGAACGTGATGAACATTTTACCTGCCAAGCAACAATTCTGGCATTTGTAATTATGTTAATGTGCAGATGTGTTTGATGATAGAAGAAAGGTAATGGTGTAGAAAAAAATGCTTTGAATTTTATTTAGCATTTGCTTTGAAATGATTGCAAATGATGAGTCATGATGATTTCACRTCTTTGTAATGTGGCAGTTATTCTTTAGGACAAGATCCCTGGCATCAATCTGTCTTAAAGTCACAGAGAACTTACTTCTTACCTAAAGCTAGAACTGCTTAGTGTYTATATATCATTTATGCTACAGATCATGACAGTGAAGGATACAGCAAAATAAAAAGTTAGCTTTGCTAATTCATAACCCATTACATAAGAAAGTTGCTTTGCCAACGCCAAACCACTAAACTTGTATAAAAACAAAKAACAGAAACTAATGCTAAACAAGTAAAAATTAGCAGAAGTAACTAACTGCTAACCTCTAAGACAACTCAGTCATATCCAGTGTGGTATAAAGTACCTCAAAGTGATACTTGAGTAAAAGTACAAGTATCTTATCATAAAAATACTTTTGTAAAAGTTAAAGTTTTCTAAAAATATTACTTGAGTAAAAGTCTTAAAGTATCAGAATTTTTTTGTACTTAAGTATCAAAAGTAAATTTCTGACACAAAATCTACTTAAGTATTAAAAGTAAAAGTACTGAGTAAAAGTGAGCAGTTAGATTTTCCTAAATGATATTTATTGGGAGGTGACTTCTTCAAAAACATTTTTTTCTAACGGCGAGCAGCTGTGATGGGTTGTGTACAAGCTAATAGGGTGTCAGAATGGTAAATATTTATACTTCTCATCCAACCACAATTAAATTCACTCTATCTAGGAAACAATTTATCAGGGTAGCATTTTTTAAGCAATAACAACTCAGAATAAAATAGGAGTAACGACTTTCAACTTCTTACCTTTTAAAAAAATGTAGTGAGTAGAAAGTACAGATAATTGTGTAAAAATGTAATGAGTAAAAGTAAAACGTACGCTGAAAAATAATTTCTCAAGTAAAGTAAAGATAACCAAAATTTCTACTTAAGTACAGTAACAAAGTATTTGTACTTAGTTACTTTACAACTCTGCATACATCCTTGTCTCCGTCCAGCTGAAGACTGGTGGGACTGACATGTTGATGTTTGTTAGTTAGCTGTTAGAGTAGATAAATTTGACAGAAAATGCATCAGAAGCTAACTGGTCCGCTAACGGTTTTCAAAATTAGTGAAAAACCGAATCTGGTAAAAAAAACTGCTCTGCTGTTAGCTGATTAGCAGAACCATACACTGCTGAATCATGATGTTTATTATTCCCAGCTGCCAAAAAGGCAAAAGGTGAGCACTAAAGTTTTGTGATTTTTTTCTGTTTCTGTGTCTGTTAGCAAAATATCTCAGTTTACAGATTTAAGTGAAACATTAACCAATAACTGAACAAAATGAGTCAACAAAATTCGAAGTGATCACCACAGCTAACTGAACAGAGTCAACACAAAAATATCTACATTTTAGTCAGTTTAACAGAAAATGAGCTATATTTTGTAGTATCTGTGAGTCATCCACTTACACTAGTGTTAACAGACTGAGGAGCCCTTGCTTGATAGTACACRTTATTCAAGATTTGACCAAAACAAAGTTGTTATTTCTCAGTGTAAGATGATTTTAGTTTAAATACTCTAGCACAAAACTTGTTTACCATTTGTATCTCTGTTTGCATGTTCACACTTGTTCACTCATCCATCAAACAAGTGCTGGGTAATGAATGCTTCCCTTGAGGCGTAACTGATCAATATTTTTTCCCCTCTTTATTCAAATGTAGACGTTCTGTGCCACAGACTGGGAAATGTTCCAGATTGGCAGCAGAGTGTTTCTGGTTGTTGCCAACGGACACAGACTGGATGGTAACGGGCCGAGTCAGTACACCATCAACTCAACCATCTACGAGCTGGACATGATTGGACGGTTGTTTGTCCGCTTCCAGGACATTGTTACCCACAGGTATGGATGTGTCATCGTCAGATGAGCTCTAGCAGATGCAYGTGCAAACACAGACTATCTTTGTGTTTAAAAGATGTTTGCTGTTATTTCACTCAGTCATCGTCTCCACTTAACCATCAKCTTTCTTTTCCAGTGCAGTGGATTGGGAGTTCTTCAGCCTCGGGGAGGAATATTTTCTGGTTGTTGCAAACTCATATAATGGAGACTCCTACTCTCTCAACAGCGTTCTTTACAGGTATTTAACTTGTCAACAGCTTCCTCTCATGTGATCATCAATCTTTTGTGTCATGTCGGACCTGTCTTGAAACCATCTTAAATAAACGTCTGACTGATGTAATGTACAGTGGGATGCGAAGGTTTGGGCAGCCAAGTTAATTTTCCTGATTTACTTTTATAAATCAGTGATTGTTTGGATTTTAAAAAAATCAGTTAAATACATCATATAGGTGACAAACACAGTGATATTTGAGAAGTGAAATGAAGTTGATATGGTTTACAGAAAGAGTGCAATAATTGGATAAAAAAATTAGGCAGGTGCATAAATTTGGGCACTGTTGTCATTTTATTGATTTAAAAACCTTTAGAACTAATTATTGGAACTCAAATTTGGTTTGGTAAGTTCAGTGACCTTTGACCTCCATACACAGGTGACTCCAATTATGAGAAAGGGTATTTAAGGAGGGCAATTGTAAGTTTTTCTCCTCTTTGCATCTTCTATGAAGAGTCGCAGCATGGGAGTCTAAAAACAACTTTCAAATGAGCTGAAAACAAAGATTGTTCACCGTCATGGTTTAGGGGAAGGATACAGAAAGCTATCTTAGAGATTTCAGCTTTCAGTCTCCACTGTGAGAAACGTGAGAAAATGGAGGACCACAGGCACAGTTCAAGTGTAGGTTCGAAGTGGCAGACCAAGAAAAATCTCCAATAAACAGAAGCAACGGATGTTGAGAACAGTCAGAGTCAACCCACAGACCAGCACCAAAGACCTACAACATCATCTTGCTGCTGATGGAGTCATTGTGCATCGTTCAACTATTCAGCACAGTTGAGATGCTGTATGGTAGAGTGATGCAGAGGAAGCCTTTTCTCCACCCACATCACAAACAGAGCTGCTTGAGGTATGCTAAAG